CGCTGTGTATTATGCAAGCATCCCTGGAGAGTAATTCTCCTCATCTACATTTTGGAAACAAATTAAAAAAGTATTGAGATCAAACATTCTCTCTCTTTGCATTTGGGTAATGAGAGCCTACTGGGTTAAATAAAACAGTTATTGAATATACAGATGTACTCCAGGTCAAAAAAGCATCCCAAGCTGAATTAACAAGTCAAATCGATAAAAATGAAAACAGTTCATACAAATATCTATTTTACCTACTGATATTTAAAAATATGCATTAGACATAAATAGAATGATGGAATCAAAGTACATTTCTCTTTAAGATTTGAAACCCATGGAAACTAGTAAATAAATCTCTCTCTCTCTCCACATCTATAGATATATAGATATGAATGATATGATACTATGAAACTGGTGCATCTTTAAAACATGAGGAAAACATCTTGCTCTGGAAACTATAACAAAGATAGTCCCATAAGGACAAAAAATCTCTGTAAAATTATCAACCATTCTAATTATTCCTAGCATTGTCTCAAATGCAGGTTGAATTTTTGCTTTCAGAATCTTGAGGCTTTGTAATAAATGAAAACATTTAACTTCTTATAAGTTCATTTAAGGCATGTTTTGTTTAAAGTTGGAGGTAACATTTATTAAAGCCTTGGCTTAGGTCTCTATACTGGACGTAATATTTATTGATTTATATTAAGTACTTGATATGGTCAATAATGATCTGATAAAAAAAAGCTTACCTTTAGTTACATTGTTCTTACTGAGCATGGAGAAGAAAGATTATATTTATCAGAAATGCATTAGTAAGTTTTATGAACCTGAACTTGTTGGTTAAATGCCACAGACATACATATGAAGCCTATTATTTACTATTTTGGGTAATGTTCTTTTTATGACCTGTATACACATGAAAATCCGTATGTATGCAAATGCACTGCACCCAGTTATACTGCTTTGGCAATACAGGATGTGACAAAAATACTGCAGTTAGTGTGATCATATTCAAATGCTATTTAAAAATTATATTATAAAAATAATAGGAAAAAAGGAAAAATTAGGCTCATTGGCATAAGATTCAAGCTAGTGCTATACCATCCAACTCTTTTTTTCTTTTTACTTAAAAAATGAGAGAGAGAGAGAGAGAGAGAGCGAGCGTAACTCCTCCTTGGAAATGTACATCATGCAAAAATATGACAAAGGGAAAAGCTAATCCAAACTGCATGTGCAAAGGGACACTGCTACACTGTGGGTTTTGTGTGATTACTAAGGAAAAGGACAGCAGGGTTATAGGCAAGATTTTTAAAGATGCCTAAGGGATTTGGAAGCCCAGTTCTCATTAAAATTAATGGGAATTGAGTGCTCCACTCCCTTAGGACATAATTCCCAAAAACATATTTGTAAAGTTCTCCAAAGAGCTGGATCTCAATCAGCTTGGCTTTAGAAATTCATCATTTTGGTTAGTTTGTCCTTGATAATTTGCTGTAGCAAAGAATCACACCCTGGATGCACAGTCCTGCACACCTTTCTCATCTTCCTACCGTACTCCCAGGTTGTGCAGGCACAGGGTCATACCATAAAGGGCAGCACATAGGAGGCTGCTCCCATTTTCTTGTCTATATCCTTTCCTGCAGCTGCTTCTTCCCTTGTCCCATGCAGATGCTCATTCCCTTCACAAAACCACTCTCTCTCCCTTTCTGCCCCCCAGTATCACCCACCATATTCCCAGCACTATCCTACCACTGTTTCTCCATCCCTATCCACCTTCAATGTTGCTTACTCCTATTTGGCCCTTCCCATGCCAGCTTCCTTCTGCTTGTCTATTCCTCTCTGGCTTTTAAGTAGCTCCCACTGCCCTCCACCACTGGCCTGACCAGGATTCCCTGGTGGCACCCCACTTTTCTACTGACCAGGCTGCCCCCTCAGATTAACCACTATCTCAGTGAGCAGATCTCTGTAGCGATAATTGAGGCCTAGTGAGCCTAACATTGGGAAAGTGGATACAAGTTTATAAAGTGTTAAATAACTTATCACAACAAATGTTGATGGGAAAGGTGTAAAAGGGAGACAAAGACCAAATTAGTCTTCACAAAAAGTCCTAGTGAAATAAATGATTGTTAAAATCATGCCTAGTAAAAGAAAGAAAAGTGGGACTAGAAATCAATGGACTAAAATTGGTGTGTAGGAAATTAGGCCTAATTGGTGGACAAAATAATCAGGGGATGGACTATTCCACCCACCGCTCCCTTCTGGGGTCCTCAAAAAGAGTCTTTTGTGGGAAATTAGCAACCACAATGCTGGATGCCTGAAAGATGGGAGACCACAAAGGGCTTCACCATTATGGCTGCCACCCCGGCAGCTCCTGGGATCCACAGTGACACTACTGGGTCTGATCCTGAGAGATATCCTGACCAGAGTTGGCCAAAGAAAAGGACCCACATGACATCATCACCTCCACCGGCTTCCACTAAATCCCAAACACCATCTGGGGTGTGAGATTTAGTTAGTCCCCTCGTGTGTTCTTTTCCTTCCCCACTTCCTCAACTATCACTTAGCTAGAAAAGGTGCCTGAAGACTCCTCAACCCTATGTCATACTCTTATGACATCCTTTGGTTTTCTCAGGAGCACAAATAAAGTCATTTTGGAGATAGAGAATTGGAGCATTATTTTTCATCAGTAGATAAGATTATACTTCTCTTGATATTGCCAGGCTAGTGCAGACCTAAAGAAGAAAGCTGCTGCCACTTTGATTAGGAACTAAAACAGGTTTTATTCTCCAGTTTTTGATTAGGGTTTTTCTCTTACTCTCTTTTTTCGCTTACTAAAATTCATTGATATTGTGAAATTGTGGTGGTGAATACTGACTTTCTGGGTTCCCTTATATGAAACATTCATATCATAGCAAGTGGCATTGTCTGTAATGTCTTACGCTTTCCCCCTCATTTCAAGGAGCAGCCATGATTACAAAAACTGCTGGCAACTTGTCCTGGCAGCAATATGTCCCTGGCAGCAACATTGCTATCCATGGGAAGCAGGTGGCAATGTGGAAGCAAGTGGTCTTTGTGTGGACATTGTGCTCCTGTAACAGAATCCCTGAGCTCAGCCGGTTTGGCTCTGTGTTCGCTAGAAAAAAGATATGATAGTAACTTGAGCTGGCTAACTCGAGGTGAAATTCTAGTTGAAGACAAAACAGTTTGTAGTTTTCTTTAAGGTAAACCATAATCTTTAAATTGCTTGACCTAGTATTTCATGTGAAAACAACAAACTGCTTTGCCTTCACTAGGATTTTGCCATGAGGTAGCGAACACAAGTGAAGAATACCTTTCCCCCGCTACGGAAAAACAATGCCGCATACATGGAGCCATCTTACTTTCTATTCTTGAATGGAAGAATTCAAAGTAAACTCTGCTGGTTAAAATTTACATTCTCCGTTCCTTATTTTGAATTATTCCCACAAGGGCACAATGAGCCACTTAGTTCTTAAGAGATTAGGTAGCCTGGTTGTTTAATATCTTCAGTCCTGAATTCTTTGGTGCTATATGCAAAATGTGTCACATAAGTGGCTAATACGTACTGAGGGATGTTAATAAAGTGATGGTTCATCTCAGGAACCTAGGTTCTCACAGAAATTTATTAAGTGGCCTGAACCCTGTGGTCAGTATCTGAAAGTTACCTTTACATTTGCAGTAGCTGTCTGTACACAGAAAGTATCAGGGGGTAGCCGTGTTAGTCTGTATCCACAAAAACAATGAGGAGTCCGGTGGCACCTTAAAGACTACCAGATTTATTTGGGCAAGAAGTGGGTTTTTTACCCACGAAATCTTATGCCCAAATAAATCTGTCTTTACAGTGCCACCGGACTCCTCATTGTTTTTGTACACAGAAACAAATTGGTGGAAGTGTGGCAAAACAAGACTGTAATCTGACAAGCATGAGCAAAGCTATAGTCCACAGGGAATGTTTTGCAGTGCCTGCTTGTATTATGGGCGTAGGCCTCACTGTCCTGAGCAAAACAGTGAGCTAAAATGAGAGAATATTTTTGTTTAATACTAAAAAAAGTCAATACCCACCCCCATTCATTTTGTCATTTAAGTTTGCACAGAGTGTGTTTACTCTTCATATATAAAACGGTAACACATAAAACACCCATTTTGATTATAAAATCGCCAAGGAATCCAGAAGCATCTAAAATAGAGATGTGAATACAGACCAAGAACAGCTTTTTTTAAACTTACATTTAATATGCAGTATAAACTTATTGTTTCTTACTCCTCCTCCCTCCCTTTATCACTATATTTCTCTCGCAGTTGTTTAGGGACACACATGGTGTGAATTCTCATATTTTCCCTTCTACAAATTTTTCACAATATCATGGTGAAGTGATCTGTACACGTCTATAATATGAGCCACAGTGGTGCAAGCTAAGGACCAAAATCCTGAAGTGCTTCTCTAGAAAAAATTTTAATTTGGCCTGTAAGTGTTTTACCATATCCTATTGTGGGAAGGTGAAATCACATCACAGAAGTAGGAGTATGTTGTCTCTTACTCTGCTAATTAGGGATGGGCTTGGACTATGAAGTCTAGCTCCAGTTCAAATTTCCCCATGTCTGAGGCTGCTCAGATTCAGGGTATTCATTCAGACTTATCTTCAGTGGTTATATCTATATGTATATCTATGAGAGAGAGAGAGAGTGAGTGAGTAAATACCAGATGGTATAGTTTTCAACACTGTATTTTCACAACATCAGTTTTATTCAGTTGGCTGAGGTTAGCCAGAGAGTTTCTTTCACCAAGCTGAACTAAAATAACCAAAAGGTAGACATAGGTACAGGATAGTATTCTTTGAAAATGGTCAGAATCACTTAAAAAAGTTTCTTATAGACAAACAGACACTTCAATTGCAACTTCAGCACAAGGGAAAATTGACTTTTTCCACTACATATTTAATATATAATACCTCATAAACATAATAAAAGATGAAGGATTAAATGGATGCAATACTTACCCAGCTAACCCACCAAAAATCTCGGTGACATAGGAATAATCCCCTCCTGATTTCGGGATAGCAACTCCTAGCTCAGCATAACATAGAGATCCAAGGACAGCAATCCCTCCTCCAATCACCCAAACAACAAGAGCTAGTCCCACTGACCCAGAGTGTTCCAGAACTCCTTTTGGAGAAATAAAGATTCCAGAACCAATAATGTTACCTGGAATAAACAAAAGATCGGTGGGGTATTAGAGGAAGGAGATAGATGCAAGGTCTCTCATTGCTCTTCCAAGGTTTGATTGCATTTATGTTTGCATAAACCTTAAGGAAAATGTTGCAACTTAGCAAAAATCAAGTAAAATGGAGAGCATTAGGTCTGCTGAAGTAGTCTGTGGGAAGCTGGTGAACGTGTTTTTACTAAAGCACTGCAATTATACAAATTTAACAGTTTGTAAAATTGTTCCCCCTCACCTGCACTGTCCCCAACTATTATAATTAAAGGGTTCAGGATTTTATTCACAAAGAAGAGTATTTCATCTCCTTCTAAGAGGAGTCTAAGTAATATAAGGTCCATCTACAATATGGATCAGAGTCTAAATCAGGGGTGGGCAAACTACGGTCTGCGGGCAGCATCCTGCCCATGAGCCGTTTTAAGCCGGCCCTCGAGCTCCACCCAGATCAGCCCCACTCCAGCTGGGGCATTGGGTCGGGGGGGCGCACCACCTGGCTTGGCCCCGTCTGGCTTGGGCACTGGGTCAGGGGCTACACCACCTGGCTCAGCCCTGCTCTGGCTGGGGTGCTGGGTCAGGGGCCACACCACCTGGCTCGGCCCCGCTCCGGCTGGGGTGCTGGGTTGGGGGCTGCACCTGTGGCTCGGACCTGCGGCTCGGACCTGCTCTGGCGCTGGGTCGAGGGCTGCATCAGCGGCTTGGCCCTGCTCTGGCTGGGGCACTGGGTCGAGGGCTGCAGCACGCGGCTTAGCTCCACTCCAGTGTCCCGGCTGGGGCGTTGGGTCAGGCCGCACCATACGGCTCACACAGAAGCTGGACATGGCCCCACTTTGGCTCCTAGGTGCTCTAATGGCCCCCTCTGGCACTCGAATGGAAGCTGCAGGGGTGGTGCCTGTGGACGGGGTAGTGTGCAGAGCTGCCTGGCCACGCCTCTGCGTAGGAGCTGGAGAAGGGACATGCCACTGCTTCCGGGAGCCGCTTGAGGTAAGCGCCACTCAGAGCCTGCACCCTGAGCCTCTGCCCACATCCCGAGCCTCTGCCCCAGCCCTGATCCCCCTCCTGCCCTCCAAACCCCTTGATCCTAGCCCAGAGCACCCTCCTACACCCCAAACTCTTCATCTCCAGCCCCACCCCAGAGCCCGCACCCACAACAAGAGCCCACACCCCAACCCCAATTTTGTGAGCATTCATGGCCCGCCATACAATTTCTATTCCCTGATGTGGCAAGTTTGCCCACCCCTGGTCTAAATAATACATGGTTTAGCTACAATGTGGTGACCAATCAGAGGCTGTCATTTGGGGCTCTGGCCAAAGGAACAAATGAAGTTAAACCCATGTTATAGCTTGTACTTGAACAAAATCCTTAAAAAGGCTGAAGTCCTTGAAGTCCATTAAAGTCTTGATATTTCTAACATGTGCTCAGTGTCCATGGATTCTTAAGGGATAAATAATATTGTGTGAACAATATATAGGACAACGTGAACTTTGTAGTACTAATGATTGATACATGAGCTGAAGTAATGCTAAAATTACAAAGTGAACACTCGATTGTTGCAGCATTTTTCTTTCACATGGAGCCTGTCTACTCTCACTGAACTCAATGGAAATTCTGCCATTGTCTTCCTCAGGTGCAGGAGCAAGCCCACAGAGATCAGTCTCAGGGATGAGCCCTAACAGGAAACCCCTAACAGGACACCCCTGTTAGACTTAGGGTTTTCAGTGCAATATCCTTATCCTGGCAGGCTCAAGTACATATTTTTTCCAATATCAAAACTTCTATGAAGAGGATAGGGAAACTCCTGCAATAATATTCCATAAAGAGACTTTTCTCCTCTGTGTACATGCATACACACACAAAGCTGGCTAACTTTGAGCTACAGTTGTTGAAGTGCATTTCCTATCAATGCAATCACTAAAAATCCTGGATATCAGCAGTTAATCAGCATTGACATCTAGACCAACCACACTTCATATGCCTGTCCACCCACGTCATCACATCAGATTCACTCTTTCTCACCTTCTGCACAACAAACATCCTTTCACTTCTAACATATAACCACACCCAATGCACACTTCCCATTCTTCAAATCATGCTAGCATGCATTGCCTTAACTCTTATCTCAAATTTTTTTAGGTAGAATTAACACAGACTTTCTTTGCATCAATCTTCACTGGAGAGGATGTGGGGGAGATATCCACATCAGAGCTAGTCTTTTTGGGTGACAAATTTGAAGTATTATCCTACACTGATGTGTCAATAGAGGAGGTTTTAGAACAAATTGCTTACATTAATACAGTACATTATTGCTTACATTAACAGTAATAAGTCACCAGGACCAGAGGGTATTCAGCCAAGAGTTCTGAAGGAACTCAAATATGGAATTGCAGAACTACTAACTGTAGTATGTACCCTATCACTGAAAAAATGCCTCTGTACCAGATGACTGAAAAGTAGCTAATGCAATGCTGATTTTGAAAAAGGGTTCCAGACTTGATACTGGCAATTACAGGACGGTGAGTCGAACTTCAGTACTGGGCAAATTGGTAGAAACTGTAGTAAGGAACAGAATGATCAGACACATAGATACATATGCTCTGTTGGGTAAGAGTCAACATGACTTTCGTAAAGGGAAGTCATGCCTTACCAATCTATAAAATTCTTTCAGTGTGTCACTGTGGATAGTTCTCTGAAAACTTCAGGTCAATGCCCATCAGCAGTAAAAAAGGCTAACAGAATGTTAGGAACTATTAGGAATAGGATAGAAAGTAAAAGAGAAAATATCATAACACTGCTATATTAATCCACGGTATGCCCATGCCTTGAATACTGTGTCTAGTTCTCAGCATTTCAAAAAGGATACAGTGGAATTGGACATGGTTCAGAGAAGGGCAACAAAGAAGATTAAGGGTATGGAAAGATGTCCACATGAGGAGAGACTACAAAACTGTTCAGCTTAGAAAAAAAAAACAGCTAAACAGGGATATAATAGAGGTCTATAAAATCATAAATGGCAAGGAAAAAGTGAAGAGAAAAGTGTTATTTGCCCTTTCCCACAATACAAAAACCAGGGGTCACCCAATGAAATTAATACACAGCAGGCTTAATACAAACAAGAGGAAATACTTTTTCACATAATGCACAATTAACCTGTGGAACTCATTGCCATGGGATGTTGTGATAACCAAAAGTATAACTGGATGCAAAAAAGAACTGTATAAGTTCATGGAGGATAGGTCCACCAATGGCTATTAGCCAAGATGTCAGGGATGCAATCCCATGGTAAGGGTGACCCTAGACCTGTGACTGCCAGAAGCCATGGGTGGATCACTCCAACTGCCCTGTTCTGAACATTCCCCCTGAAGCTCTGGTACTGGCAACTGTTAGAAACAGGTTTCAGAGTAGCAGCCGTGTTAGTTAGTTGGGGGGAAACAAGGGGAAATAGGTTACCTTGCATAATGACTTAGCCACTCCCAGTCTCTATTCAAGCCTAAGTTAATTGTATCCAATTTGCAAATGAATTCCAATTCAGCAGTCTCTCGCTGGAGTCTGGTTTTGAAGTTTTACTGTTGTAATATCGCAACTTTCATGTCTGTAATCGCGTGACCAGAGAGATTGAAGTGTTCTCCGACTGGTTTATGTTTCTTTGTTTTTTCCTCCCCCCTCCCCGTTCCACAGACATTCTTGTTAAACCCTGTGTTGGATTTGTGCTGGAAATGGCCCACCTTGATTATCATACACATTGTAAGGAGAGTGATCACTTCAGATAAGCAGGAGAGTGGGGTGGGGGGAGAGAAAACCTTTTGAAGTGATAAACACCCATTTTTTCATGGTCTGTGTGTATAAAAACATCCTCACTGCATTTTTCCACTTTTATGCATCCGATGAAGTGAGCTGTAGCTCACGAAAGCTTATGCTCAAATAAATTGGTTAGTCTCTAAGGTGCCACAAGTACTCCTTTTCTTTTTGTTAGAAACATGATACTGGTCTCACCCAGTATAGCAGTTCTTATGCATGGAAGGAAGCAGCTCTCTAATAGGAGGTATTAGAAGGCTGCAAGGTACAGAATGGTCCACTTGGTGGGGAGTGGGGGGGACTGATGACTAGCTTGGTATTTCACAGCAAGACAAAGAGTCACTATTTCTCCAGTGGATGGCCCTGGTGTTCAGAGGCGATGCGTGGCGGCAGCGCTCGGCGTCACATGTCCCATCCAGAGGTGCCGCTTGGCTTGTATTGAGCACGTTCAGTAATATCTGCTGAAGCCACTGCCCTCACTCTGCGCCCTCCCCTCCCCACTATCAGCAGGTACAGGTCATCTCTGCTAGTATTTGTTGCTGGAGGGGTGTCCCACAGTTGTGGACACAGTTGTGCTGAAGTAGGGCTTTCTGCTGCAGAGTCTAGAAGGTTCCTAGCTCCTCATACATCAAACAGCCTACTCCCCCCCAGATGTCAGGCCACAGATAGAGCTGTTAGCACACAGAGTTGCTATAGTGCGTTGTCATGGTAAATCCATGAAACAAAACAAAAAACAGTTCCACATCAACATAACAGACAACTCATCAAGATGCATCCTCAGAACAACATACTTTACATAAGGACAATGGAATGAAGGTGGTTTTTATTATTGTTTGGAGCTGGGTGGCTTGGGCATCATAACAATGAATTTAGAAAGTGGGAGTATTTTACACCAGCCCTGCTAATGTGTTCACTCACATAGGACAGAGTTTCTGTATTGTTACTTTGTTTAAAGAAGTAAAGCATTTCCAAGCCTGCAGCTCAACCAAGTCAAAAGGCTAAGCCTCAAAACCTTCATTTTGGTGTCATGTGGGTTCAGCTGAGATGGCATTTTATATATCCCTGCAATTCACACTGGTGTGTAAAATGTGGGTTGATGTGATATGGATTTTATTATTAGCTGTGTGATACTGGATGGGGAAGGGTCTCTCTCTCACACCCACACACAAATAAAATAAAAAATGGGCCAACAGGCAG